TACATAGTAATTCTTGAGGAAAGAAAATGTTTTACCTTGAAAGTAGATGAAACAGAAGCTCTCAAATCTTTAAATTTGGGTATAAGAGGTTTTTTCAAACAACAAAAATTAACTTGACATGCATAAATATAAGTAGCCATTGATTTTCTTTACACAATTTTTTTTTAGTATTGTGAATAAGTAGAAGGGTATAAGAAAAAGACTATTTTTATAGTTAGATTGTGTGACCATAAAGTAGTGTTTTCTCTGTCTCAATTAAAGTAACGTTATTTGACTTGATAGTTGATATAATTATTTTTAAAAAAAAAGACTTTTGTAACTTCTAATTATAGTCTAAAAGACAAACAAATCGTATATTCTTGAGTGACTGTAAATCATCTCATTAAGAATAGAATGAATATTTTAAAACTAAAGTGTAACTAATATATAAAAAAATTAAAGTCTTATTCTCTTTTAAATTAATAAAAAAAAACTCGTGTCACAGATATTGAGACAAAAAAGATGAAATACTATTCTTTTTTCCCAATCGTTAATGAATTTATTTGTCTTTTTTTAAAATTTTTTATTTTCATACCTATTTAAACTCGATTAATTCAAATATACATATATACTTCTTGTCAAAATTGAGTTTTGCTAACGTGTTATAAAATATTAATTATCTTATCTTTTAGTTTACAAATTTACTTAATTATAAGCCAACAAGTCCAATTAATTGATGTCTTATTTGACTTTTAATGTTTTATTATTTAAAGTCGATCGTAGATTGGCTGAAGGTTAGGCATAGAGCCAAACTTTTGTTATTAATATTCAGATAAGCTTTTATATTATCAAATTGAATAATAAATTGGAATAGAGAACCATTAAAAGTGTAGTTATTAAAACTATAGGAATAGAAAAATTATGAAAATTTTAGTTTTCCAAAAATAGATAAGATGAATATGAAAAAGATATTAAATCAAAAATAAAATTTTAATTACATTCTCATTCAATTTATTGTGTGTTCTGTCCTAAAAAAAATTTAATCTTGATGTTATTGTCCAAAAAAAAATTGAGTTAATTCGTATGGGATTGTACGAGTTTAGAAACACAAATCTTGAGATTACAATGAAGTGATGTGGATTTTAAGCTATGCGGTGTAATATGAATTTTAAACTATATGTGAATGCGGGATAGATCGAAATAGCTTTTTTCTAAATTCATATTGAAAGATACGATTTACATTTACGAGTCCATTTAAATTTAAGAAAAAAATGAAAATTAATAATATTCTCGTGAATTTACCTATACTAATATACATTTAGCTTTACCGAAAATTTTATGATACTTAATATTACACTAAAAATTAACAACTTTATGACTTAGGATATCAAAATAAAAGTTGAAACTTTTCGATTTTAATTGAGTTTGATATAATTATATAAAAGAAATAATAGCCCATTGAGTCTACTTTTTAAATTGTGTTTAGTAATCTCACATTAAAAAAAGAAAGAAAAAAACCCTTTTACATATGTATAATTTTTGCTTAAAAAGTTTGGATGAACACTCCCAATCGCACTTTTATTTTGTATTGTTCATATTATGCTCAATGGTTCACAAAAATTGGCACCAACTAACAATCATTGTAGGGGCTCACCAAATAGATGGTTGGAATTTCGCTATCTATTTCACGTTATCGAGTTCAAGCACATTTATATTTTATGTTATCGAGTTCAAACATATCGTATTACTAATTAGGAATATTAATATGAAGTCTAAATTGTTCTCAATTGAGTTCAAGCATATCGTATTACGTATTAGTATTTTTTTACTAATTAAGAGTTTCTTATCGAGGAAGATACATATAAATATATACTTTTTTTTAAACTTGATACATCAAAATAGAGAGAGACAAGTGTGATATATAGTCATGTGTCTTAGATACATGTGAACTAAACCAGATACATATATAGGAGAGTGACAAGCGAAACAGGAGAGGAGTGAGCGACATTTGCTATGCATATATCCAGCTACATGCGAATCTACTTAAATACAATGTATCTACAGTAAATTACCCCTTTCCATTATTCGAAAATACATATATTTGAACGTATAATCTTAATGTACCAAAATCTAATAAGATTCGTAATATTATGAATTAAAATATATATAAGTAATTCACTCCTAAACTAATGAGATCTTTATAATTTACTTCTTTCTTTTTTTAATAAAGGAAACTAACATTTCATGAAGGCAATTAGCAGTAGATATTGAATATTACACTATTACTTAAATAAATAAATAAATAAATAAAAGGTCAAAAAACAGTTTATTGGTTATAGACTATAGTCTGTCGATCTTTTTATCGAATTTTAACTTTTTTTTAAGCTAGTATATCGATAATTAATTGGAGGACATAAATGCCCCATGAAATCCATATGGCACTCTACTAGGTAATATGATTATGGCAACAGCCTCACTTTCAAATTTTTTTGCATCAATTATATAAACCTGCAAAATTGAAATAATTATATACATATTAGAATAATAAATATAAATTCCAAAACCATGTTTGAGTATAAAAAAAAAAAAATCTATAAGAGGATTCAAGAAACACCACTCAAAATTAATCAATCGATCCTAATTTTTTTTTAAAAAATCGACAAAATATTTTTTTAAAAAAAAATTCTTTCTATATATTTGTCCTTTAAAAACTAACTGACTTGACTAATTTAAGTCCTCATTGTAATAGCAAGTCCCTTACGAGACTATTTTATCCCTCGAACATATCTCGTATAAATACATATAAAATATTAACACGACACGTATAAATAGAGAAAAAATAATTATTATATTACGATTTAACTTACTTGTGATTGATTTGTATTTTCATTATGTGTGAATGCCACAATCCAACCATCATCTTCATCAACACCATCAAGTTTTGGAACAAATGTAGCTCCACTACAAAATGTATTTTTTGGGAAAATATGATATTCAACCTTAATCAAATCTTCTTCTTCTTTAAAATCCTAATAATTAATCAACATTTAAAAAATAAATTATCAATTAGATTAAATTAAATGAATACTACAATATTTTAGAAAATGTCAAATATAATATTATTGTCACAAATTTATTTAAGTAGTAATTACCTTTGAAATTTCTTCAAAATTAAGTTTGGCTAGCCCTCCAAATTTAGCAAATCCTCCTGATAAAGTCTTTGCTAAATTCAAGATAATATGTCATCATGAAGTTTAAATTAGTAACATGAAAATACTTATTTTATTGCTAAATAATAAATATTTATCCCTAATTCTATTTAACAACTTAATGATTAATTATATCTTAGTCCAAATAGAAATTAGAGTACTCACCAAAATAATTAGAGAAAGCTTCTGAATCAATAAGTTGTAGATAGCCAAATTTGTTTTTAAGACCAATGAAGTGTTCATTGATCATTGGGAATTCCATTATAAATCGATGATCGTTCGTAGTTACATTTTTCATCTTCACTTCACCTGTTTTCATGTTTAATCTCCATTCACAAACTTTAGAAAAAGAAAATAAATCTTCTGACGTTTTAATGTTATCTTTACTGAAACTCATCTCGTTCAACGCGTCTAAACTCAATCCAAGCTCGTCTACTATAATATCTGGTCTTGGTATAATCGATTTACGAGCTCTACATGCCCTTACTACAACCTTTTACACACAAAAAAAAATCAAATTAATTAATTTTACTAGTCTCATATATATATATATATATATATATATATATATATGATGATCACATAAATTTGAAATTAAATCAAGTTTTAAGAAAATGTTAAAATACCTCATCATTATCTTCAAAACAATTTATTATGTGAAATACACAACATGGTTCAATTTCAAACCATTTAATGGAATTAGCATCACCATAATGAGGCATTATTCCAATTCTTGCATGTCCATCTTTATCATATTTTATTAATCTGCAAAAATCAGAAGTATAAATATATATACATTAATTAAGGATTTAATTTAGAATATATTTTTCATTAAATTGTAGTATCACAAATTTATTTTCCCCATAATATAACATGTTTAAAATACTTACTGCTCTCCAATAATAAGTCTGTTTAGGTCAATAGTTAGTGGAAAATCCAAAATCACATTGTACCTACACATAATTAAATTTTAAAATATTAGGACAACATTAGCATATAAATAATTGGATTTAAGTTCATAAATATATTCTAAACTACCAAAAAATATTTATATTATCGATTCGTACAACGTAATTGTTTATAATGAATTTTCACTTTAATTTTCAACTGATCAAATTAAACTGATCGTATATAAAGTTTATAAAAAAAATTACATGTTATCGTTAGTTAATTTTATTTTTTATTACCATCAATCAATATATAAAACTTAAACGCGTAATAATTACCTCTTTGTAACTCCAATTTCATGGCAAATGATACACCTATTAAGTTTGACATCCACCTTGTGAACCATTTGTTTTCCATCAGCTGAAAATAGATATTAATTGAATTTAAAAATAAATTAGAAAATTAAATAAACTTTTCAAAATGGAAAATAACATACCTGAAATAATTCCTAGCTCAAGATAAGGTTTTAGTGGATTAATTCCCATTATAACAAGTTCACCCGTATCTGGTATTTTCTATCGAAACATGATATAATTAAATAATTAATTAAAAAATATAATTATTTTAATAACTTAAATTTTTAAATATAATAATCACATCTTTAACATGATAACAAAACATATAACAAATCACAATTAACTCACATGTTTATATAGTTTTGCTCACATCCCAAGAAAAAAAACATAATGATAATTTCATTCCTTATCAACTAATTTACAAAATATAATGTATATACTATATACATAATATACAATGTAATTATATAAGAAGTCTTTTTTAATATTCTGAACTTTTAGATTAAACAACCACACACTTCAAGAATTTTTACATACAAGATTCATCGTAAAGATCTATATTGTATAGACACTTCAAAAATACTGATAGGTACATGTCGAAATTTTCAAAACTAGTATATTTGATCTTTTAGGATGTGATATAAGTTCGATAACATTTTAACAAAATTCGAGCGACATAACAAAACAAGTTTTTGTAATGAGCCATTACCTTTGGATGGGCTGTGAATGATTGACTCCAAG